ATCATTATTGTCATCATCAATCTCCAGCAGATCTTCGAATTTCATTACAAGTCGGTGTAATATAAAAATACGTCATTTTTTACAAAGTTATATTATATTAGGAATCAGATGACTACCTTGACAACCTTGAAAGACACCCTTGCTGTATTCTTTTTATAAAATATAGGTTAATACAGTGATAAATAAACCTTTCGGCGTTAAGTAAAAATACTAAAGGTTATTGACTGCACGGATGACGAAGGGGTTTAAGCGGTTTCCTACTGCGCTGAGTGTTGTGGGTCCGATCCCCACATGGGACAACATTTTGTCTGGGTCTTCTTTGTGTCCGTTTAATTTATGTTTGTAAAGTCACAGGATTTTTTCCTAGTGCCTGAGTTGACTTTTTAAAAAGAAAAAACGAAAAGATATACACAATCTTGTACGAAAAAAAAAACATTACCATTGTACCAACATTTGATCAGCAATCAGGTACCAGCCAGCAATCAGGTACCTTTTGTAGTTACTGATTGGATCTACTTGCATATAGATACATTATTTACTGTACAATCTCTGCAAATGCGACCTTTGTACAGCCATATCGTTGGGTCAAAATTATTGACACACTCGACAAAAGGAACTGTGGACTACTTTCTTTTGTGTATTTGTACACACACTATATTGTCAGCTGTTCTTATTTACCGAGTACATTAATGCTGTTTCGCTGTCTGGCTGGCTTTAGGACTTAAAAACGAATACAAAGAACTTCCAATAGCACTAGTGCTTACAGTTATTTAAATGTCTCAACTCAAGTTCTTCTATCTAAACACTAGAATAGTACTTATTGTTTAAACTTATCTCAAAGATTTTACTTCAAAAATTTTAAATTACGAGTAGTCCGTTCTTTTTATTAGTTTAAAATATTAGATGTTTTTAATCTTGTTTTTGTTTTGGTAATTGATTTTATATTTGTTAACCTCTCTAGCCGGTGTCTGTGATTGTGTTAAGAGTGCACTGGATTCGAAACCAAAACAACTCAATCGCAAGTATAACACTTTACTCATTACGGTACCTTCTTTACGAAATAATGCAGCTTATAATGAAACTGTTTACATAAATATTTATATTTTTTCTATATATAATAAGTATATATTTACAAAAAAAATACATATGTATTTATATTAGTTGTCTAGTACCCATAGTACAAGCTCTGCTTAGTTTGGGACTAGATGGCGTTGTGTGAATGTGGTAGAATATTATATTATTATTATTTATGATTGTTAACCCAAACCTGGCAAAACCCATTTTATTGTATTCAGTCCGCTGCTAAATTTATTTATATATTTCTATTTACATAGATAAGTAAAATATATTATGATTATGCACATTATAGGACTGCACGGATGGCGTAGTGGTTTAAGCGGTCGCCACGCCGCTTCCTACTACGCCGAGTGTTGTGGGTTCAAACCCCACATGGGACAACACTTTGTGTGATCCACAAATTGTGGTTCTGAGTCTGGGTGTTCTTTGTGTCCGTTTCATGTATGTTTGTAAAGTCCCCCGCGACACAGGATTTATTCCTAATGCGGGAGTCGTCTTTTAAAACAGAAATAAGAAGAAGAAGATACATGATATAGACATTAATGATTATTTTTCCATTTACACAACGCCATCTAGTCCCAAACTAAGCAGAGCTTGTACTATGGGTACTAGACAACTGATAAAAATATATATTTACTTTTTTTGTAAATACATACTTATTATACATAGAAACACCCAGACCAAATCAAACATCCAATGTTCATGCACGCAAATGTTTGACTTGAGCGGGAATCGAACCCGCAACCTTCGGAATAGCAGTCCGTAACACAAACCACTACGCCATCCGGTCGTCACATCACACAATTATCTGTCCTGGGTGAAAAACAACTCCATTCCCTCTTGCTCAGAATTTAGGAAGACAAACCACTAAACGAACAGAACCATCAATTTTAATTCCCACTTTGTTTTGCCATCGTACACTATACATTTAAAATACAACCCATTTACAAAAAGCTGACTATTTTGAAGCCTTTTTTAGTAATCAATCAAAACACTTTAAATATTTATGAGTTTTCGTTGTTATGTTGACATGGAATTTATAACAGAACGTCTGTGTACAATAAACTTAAAATTCAATACAATTTCAATTCGAACATTAATCTGTTATGAGTACAGAGTTCTCTTTATTGGGTTTTACTTCACAATAAAGTTTATTTGTTGCAGAAAATTAGTACCATGCGTTTTAACAAAAAATGCAGTTTCGAAAAAATATATTCCTGTGTCACTTATATTGATGTTTCGTAAATATTGATCTACATAAGTTTTCACTGTCAACATTATGTGTGATCTGGTGAAATGTTTTTGCAATAAATTTGTATTACTAGCGTCAACCAAGCTCCGTACGTATGTAAAACCTCATTTTAGTATCTAAAATATTGTTGCACAATATACTGTTTTTAGGTGTACAAAAATATGTCTGCTTTGGGTATAACATTGAGATTTTGTGTATGATTTTTAAATATTCTTATAGTTATTTATTATTAGGTATATACTCGTAGTTATTTTTGGGATTGGGATTGATTTAGCACAGGCTATTTCGTAGTGGAAATGTGATGTGGGCTGGTGCATTTTTTATTTATTTTACTATTTTTTATCTTTCACTTCACTTTCTTTTTTACTGGATCTTTTTTCCTTATATTGTTTTCTTTTTACTGTCTCAAAACAATGTTGTGATATATTTAATAGTGCCATTGTATCTATCTGTGAATTGCAAAATAGTGGCCATGAGTTTGTTCACCCTTTCTTCTCATAAGGCTTAACCCCTTGGAAACGGGCGGTAGTAGATCGGCACAGGCTTATCATAGATTTTGTATGGGTTTGATTTTTGTTAAATTTATTTGCTTACTATTTGACAAAACATAGATTGTTGCCATTGTGTGTGTTGATCTATAACTTTAGAGTCTACATGGAAGACGATTTTTTTTTATTTTTTTTTTTTATGAAATAAAGAGAGTTTGATTTTGAATTTGATTGTTTTGAGAAACTCATTAGTAAGAATTATTTCAGATTATTAATAAACTTTTTTATTTTCTGTTTTCTTTTTTATTGTATAGTGTGTACCAGACCCGCGACTTCATTCGCCTGGAATTCGGAAAGCGCTGCCTTAGTGGGTTTGATGCCCGGACCGGGCAAAATTTTGTAGGGTTTTTCTGAGAGGAAAAATAGGCCAAATCACTCCTTATATAGTTACCTACGTGGTAGTAAACTATAATCAAAATCAGTCTAGCCGTTTAGAAGATTACCCAGAACAAAAAAACAAAAAAAAAACTGGTTTTTTAGGCATAGGTATGGTGAAAATAATCGTGTGAGCATGAAAAAAAAGCCTATTATTTTGAAATTACAAACAGACACTTCAATTTTATTTATTTGTATAGATGGGGGCAAACAAGCACACGGGCCACCTGATGATAAGTGGCTACTGCCCCTCATGGACAGCTGCTACTTAAGAGTCATAAGTGCATTCACACTCTTTCAGTCCCTTCCTCTAGAATTAGAGGGAGAGGGAGGGTTTGGGCTCTTTTAACCTCACTCGAACTTAATAGAAAGCAACGAAAAGAACCGATTAAAACCGGTACTTAATAAGAATAAATTCAACGATTATTAACTGCGTATGTTTCTTCAGAGTGGGATTGACTTAGATGAAGCATTTTGTATTAATCTATTATGTTTTACTCGTACTTGTCGTTTTTGTATTATTTTTCCGTTGTTGTTAGTTTATTTATCTATACAAATAAATAAAATTGGAGTGTCTGTTTGTAATATTAAAATAACCGCTTTTTACTAAATGCATATGTATGTTTACGTGGTACATATGCCAAAATATCATTTTTTACAATTTTTGTCTGTTCGTCTGTCTGTCTGCCTGTCGGTTTGTTCCGGGTAATCACTGGAACGGCTGGACCGATTTCGACGGGACTTTCACTGGCAGATAGCTGATGACATAAGGAGTAACTTAAGCTACTTTTTTTAGACTAGCTTCGCCCCGCGGCGTTGCCCGCGGTTATGACAACAAACGCGGGTAACACCGCGGGTCGCAGCTAGTTTCTTAATAAAAGTGCTGTAAAAGCTTTTGGGATGCCGGTTGATTATTGGTCAAATCAAATAGATACGGTATTAATTATAACCCGGCAATCTCGTGCGCGACCGTCCCGCGGGGTAACAGACAGTGGCGGGGGCGAGGTAGCGCGTCATTCTAGCACACGGCTACACACGAAGAGAAGCGTTTCCCTTCCCCGCTACACCACCCGCTACCCGCTGACATCTTGAGTACCTCGTCTCTGCCACCGTCTGTTAGCCCGCAGGACGGTCGCGCACTACGTTGATGGACTATATTAATCGTATTTTTTTATAATTTTACATTTATGTTTGGTAGAGCAATCTGTTTTTGCGATTACTTACGATTTTAATTAAAGGTTTTGAATAATAAACAAAAAACTTTGTGAACTAACAAAAATATAACAATTAAAAACAAAAATAGAAAACAACAGAATCGATAATGAAAGTTTTTTTTAAAGTGGTTTAAAATCTTATTAGCGTATATTTTTTTGTACATAACAGTTTATCTGAAATAATGAATAATAAAAAATATATCAACAGCCTTTAATAGTCCACTACTGGATATAAGCCTCTCCTTAGAAAGGGGGTTCTGGCCTACTATACCACGCTGGCCAGACGGGTTGGTATAGGGTTTGTGTCAAGTTTTCCTTCTCTCTGCAGTGCTGTTGTTCTGCGTAGTTTTCTCCCTTAGTGGGGTGCCCGGGATGAATAGGGGTGGTGACACTCTGTATCCTTAATCCGTCACCACACGGACATTTTTTTAACTGGTTAAAAATCTTATTAGCGTTTTACTTTTTTTTGTACATAACAGTTTATTAGAAGTAATGTATAATAAAAAAATAAATATTATAGAAAAAAACACTTACTTGCGATTTTTCCGCATAATACACCAAGCTTGCAAATATCACTATCCCCAGCACCAAAAAGAACACCAACAGAGCCAGTTCCTTCGCTGAAGCCTTAAAGGTGTGCATCAAAATTTTCAGTCCAGGGCTGTGCCTCGTCAGCTTAAACAGCCTGAGGATCTTGATAATGGAGATGAACTCTAATAAGTCGGCTCTGTCCACGTACTGTTTTACCACCGTCAGCTCGACTACAACGTCCATGTAAAAACTTAAAGTAGCTATAAAATCTATAATGTTGACCGGTGACTTCACAAATTCTATTTTATTCGGTGCTACCTGAAACAAAAGAGAATGTACTTAGATGTGAAATTTTAATGCAAAATCTTGTGTCAAATACTAATACGAAACTAACCAGAGCCTGTGCTATGGTAACCAGACTGCTGATTAACATACTTAAATGTTTCTAAGTACATTTAGTACATACGAGTATTACAGAGTATTTTCAATTTCATTTGAGGTTTTTATACGGTTTTTATATGGCTATTTCTTTAATTAGTGTATGGTGGTAAATAAAAACTATATAAAAATATACGGCAAGTGTCGGATGTTAAATGGGATTGAACTACTGCTAGCTCGAAGAGTCCAGGGTTGTGTATTCGTGTATTCGACTCGTGATGGGTCTTGCCACTTGGACAGCAACGGCAACCGGTATAAAAAACTCTTTGAAAACGTTAACGATACAATTCTTAGGTGTGTCTATTTCCTCATTCCCTTCTATTAGAATTGATAATATGCACATGACTTATAAAAAATCACAGATGCGCGAACGGTGAGTCGTCGTGTCGTGAGGCTGCAATGATTTTACCACTGTCTACTAGAGACTTCGAAGGAATTCGCAAGAAAATAGGTTCATATAGGTTATTATCCTAAAAGGTTTAAACACAGTACCGTTCCTACTTCATTACACACATTAAATCTTACGCCTATATTATTAAGTGGCAAATCGAACGGAGTAAGGGGTAAATTACTCATATTAGGTCTGTTAATGGAATTTAATTGGAGCAAGTAAACTCAAAATTATAAATATTTGGAGATATCAAGTGTATATACATAGCAATATGTCCTCCTCTGGAACGCTCTGCCTTTGGAAATCAGGATAGCACCCAATCGCCTCTCATTTAAGACGAAAGTCCGAGCTCGAATTCTCGTCACTTTAGCAGACTCATCACATCCCTAAAGTCTTATATGTTATTATGTTAGCCTTGTGTGTATTACTCAGCAAGTATATATATGTATGTGTATCTCAGTATCTATGTAACCTAATTTTAATTTCATGCACCTACTCAGACATTTCCCCATCACCCAAAGGTAGACTGGAAGAAAATGCCTTTGGCATTAAGTCCGCCATTGTACTTTGTTTGTTCAAAAAGAATTAACATAAAATAAAATAAAATATGATTCGGTTCTTGGTTAGGGTATAGGGCTTAGTCTTTCCACCAAAAGCCAGGTCGACATTACATTTATATGACCCTTGTTTATTCAAGAAATTGTTTGCACTCCCAAATCCAGTGATATACGTAACATTCTTTGCCTTTAATTTTGCCATCTTACTCCTCAAAGACCCGGTTTACGACGATTGGTTGAAATATTGGTTATTTAATCAGCATTATTATTTATTGTTAAAACTCAAATGAGGCCCATAATAAGTACAACACAAACATTTTTAGATAAACGTGTGACTGTACCAATTTTCTATTTACAAAAAATTGATAAATTTACGTAACATACAAGAAAACCAATTTCTCTAGGTAATTTTGTTTGACTTGATTTTCTTTCAAAGTTTATTTTGACGGTATAACGAACATCAAAAATCATGATACAAAAATTCTATAACCAAGGGGGCCTTAAACCTTTGCTACTCAAGATAAGAAGCACGGTATATCTAAGGCTCAGCTGTTTAATTTTCTGCTCTAGTTGTTAAAGCTTACGAATTGGACCCTGGACCGTATATAATGTGAATTATAAATACAATACAATCTGGTTATAAAATTATATTTAATATAAATAATTTTCGCATATAGCGTATCGGGGGAAATGCGCAAGTGTATGCAAGGTATATAATATAATAATAATAATCACTTCAAACTAGGGAGAGCCTGTACTATAATTATCAGACTGCTGATAAACATACTTATATATTTCTAAATACATACATATTTTGGATAAATTACACCTAGACACAGAACAAATCATCGTGCTCATCAATTATTTATCCTGGGTGGGAATCGAACCCACGACCTCTGGCTTAGCAGTCAGGGTCACTAACCACTAGACCAACTTAGTGACTTTTGCTGCGCCCATTGAAGCCTACAACTCTAGAGTCACAAGGAATATTGGAAGGAAGAGCTTTAGGCTCCAGTATTCCTCCAGTATCCAACTAAAGAATACCTTGTCACCAGTATGCTGTATCCGTCATCCGTATCCGTAATCCGACATCCGTGTGGTGACGGATTAAGAATACAGAGTGTCACCACCCCTGTTCATCCCATGGGTGTCGTAAGAGCTAAGACTAAGGGAGAAAACTAGGCAGAATAACAGCACTGCAAAGAGAAGGAAAACTTGACTCAAACCCTATACCAACCCGTCTGGCCAGCGTGGTATAGTAGGCCAAAACCTCCTTTCTAAGAACAGGCTTATGTCCAGCAGTGAACTATTAAAGGTTGTTGATGTGAGTATGCTGTAAGGCCGGCCGAGCTGGCTTTTTTATCCCAAAGCCGAAGTTTATAACACCTCTATAATAACCGTCATAAACCTAATTAGGTATGCTCTAAATATTAATTGACTGAAAGTAAACGACAACATTGCAAAATTATACACCCTAGCAGATTCATAACAACCTTAAAGTTTTATGTATTATTAATATGTAGGTTAATGTATGTATGTATGTTACTGGGTAAGTATTCATGTATGTGTATGTATTTGGTACGTATGTATGTATGTTTATGTCATTGTTTCTGTCTAACCTTTCATTAACTTTCTCTCACTTTACACATCAATGTCTAGTGCACCTTGTCACACATTTCAGCACCACCCTAAGGTAGACTGGGAGAAAAGTAATGCCTGTTTCACTAAGGCCGCCATTGTACTCATATTAGTGTATAAGGAATTAAAATAAATAATTAAAAATTTCAAACATACTCGTACTAACAAAACCAAACACGTAATTAGTCAATAGCTATAATTGATAAAATATCTGGGATATTGATTTGAGATTAAGGGCAGGAGCGTAACCCCCCGCCACCCGCAATTTCAACTCCCACACCAACTAAACTATCCCCGGCATGCCGGCAGTATAGTACTCATAAGTGGCTCATTGCTTAGGTCCGGACGCAGCTGTGTATTCTACATAGTAACATGAGGCTCGACAATATGTGTGTATGTTTACTTTTAAAGGAAGTAGTTACTACAAGTAATTTTATTAAGTCAGAGCTCAATGAGTAGTTGGCAGCTGTTGTTCACCTTTTATCATAATTATCTATACCTACAAATAAATAAAATTGAAGTGTCTGTTGGTAACATCAAAATAATAGGTTTTTTCATGCTTACACAGATATTTGCACGTTACCTGTGCCTAAAAACCATTTTAAATATTTTTTGTCTGTCTGTTTGTTCCAGGTAATCTTCAAAACGGCTGGACCGATTTTGATATTATTTTACTACCAAGTAGCTGTCTATATAAGGAGTAACTTAGGCTATTTTTTCTCTCAGAAAGAACCCTATAAAATTTTGCCTGGTTCGGGAATCGAACTGACCAAGGCAGCGCTTTTAAAATTCCACGCGGACTAAGGCACCAGCTAGTGTAAGTATATACGCAGAACTTTCTCCACTTTATTAATTCACGTTTTTTTTTGATAACGCAACAGGTATTCTAAGAAACATAAAAGATTATGTCCAAAATATTATTATTTAAGTAGGTCCCACTCTGCTGAGCAGCATTAAATTTAAGTTGAAAGTGTTAACATTAAAACTTAGCTTTTCCCATTGCAACTTATCTAAGTAGATAAAATCTTAAATGAAAAAGCGAGAGTTTTTGACCAAAACATTTTCTGTATCTCAATTAGAAGACGAGATATAGAGAGAAGGAAGTTTTGAAAACAGGAAATGAACAGAAGGTCATAGGTACAGTTTCAGTATATTTGATGACAAAAGTGTCCATCACACATCAAGAGTCTATGATAGTCCACTGCGTGACATAGACCTCTCCTCTGTAAGGAGGTTTTGGCCTACTATACCACGCTGGCCAGACGGGTTCGTATAGGGTTTGTTTCAAATTTTCCTTCTCTTTGCAGTGCTGTTGTCTTGCGTAGTTTTCTACCTTAGTCGACTTCTACGACACCCACGGGATGAATAGGGGTGGTGACATTACGTATTCTTAATCCGTCACCACACGGATATACCGTCACTGTCCATCAATGTCTATTAAAAATCGGTTCAATAGAACTGGTCTTTGATTAGATTAGAGAAAAACTCTCATTGCTTTTGCTGTACTTATACTTTTTGTGAAAGGTTGAGTGCCCATTACAAATAAGTATTCAAATTAACCGGCCCTTATCGCCGTAGGGCAGGCAATATTCGAGATAATGACTTTTTATTTAGAAATATAAGTGCCTGAGGCAGGGATATTCAACCGATTAGGTTAAAAGTGCTGTTTCGCTGAGTCTTTAATATTACGAATATTATTAGCAGGTTAAGTGCCACATTAGAGTATGTAAAATGCATTGACAGTACCTTTTAGAAGACCCTTAACAGTAACTTATTAATAACAGTCGCTAGTCAAATAATTGCTTTGTCCTAACGGCTTGTCTAATAACAGGATGTGCAAACTACAAGATACCTATCGAGTTTATGCTGTCCCAGACCTTTTTAACCATTCAACGGGGGAGAGTCATGTTTTGGAACATATGGGCAAGGCTCGACCGAAGTGATAGCACGACCGTACAGAAAATCGTTGTTAGGTAATTATTTTGTAACTTTTCACCGATTGACTCACACTCCTCCTGTAGGGGGGGACTCAACTCTAATTCTCATATTATCTGTTACAGATTAATAGACAGACCTGCCGGAGGTGGGTGTAAAATATCTAACACAATTATATAATGCTATACTACGACGACAATACGTACCCCCACAATGGAAAGTGGCTAAAGTATTAATGGTCCTAAAACCAGGTAAAAGCCCGGAAGAAACCAAATCGTATCGCCCAATTAGTTTGCGTCCCATTCCGTGTGGTGACGGATTCAGAATACAAATTGTCACCACCCCAATTCATCCCGTGGGTGTCGTAAGAGCCGACTAAGGGAGCAAACTAAGCAGGACAACAGCACTGCAAAGAGAAGGAAAACTTGAAACAAACCCTATACCAATCCGTCTGGCCAGCGTGGTATAGTAGGACGGGACCGCCTTTCTAAGGAGAGGCCTATGTCCAGCAGTGGACTGGTAAAGGCTGTTGATGTGATGTAATTATAATGAGTATTCTAAATGTAAATTGATGTAATATTGTATGGGCGACGGTAGTCACTTACCATCAGCTGACCCGCCTGTTCATTCGCCCTTTATTCTATAAATAAAAAATCCAAAAAAGAGAATCCCTTAGTCTAACTCCCTCGGATCCGATTTATCTTTTTTTCCAGGCGCTCAAGGTAGCCGGCCATAAATGAATTTAAACTTGAGAAAGAGGCAGAAAAAGGATGATTAACCTGGGATTATTTGAAAACGAAACTTTTCGTTCAAAAAGGCGCAAATTCGCATATTTTCTGTAACAGATAAAGAGACAGACACTAGCCGGCCTGTAAGGTTTCTATTCCTTTCTAGAATCTAGAAATAAATATTATAAGGTTAAGTGTATATATTATTAAAAACTTTATTTTCAGCTAAGCATGTGTAGTAATAACTTTAAAACCAACATGTCTGATCATAACAAGACTTAATGTATAATAATATTCTGTGAGCCACGGTAAACTTTGTGCGAGACT